TGGAAAAATGCATTAGAGTGCGAACGGAGCACGAAAGAGAAGGATACCGACAAAATGTAGGAAAAGAAAATGCCTGTCAATTTTCCACATGGTTAAAAAGAGAAATTAACTGTGCGCGAAAATAATAGAAGGATAGAAACAAACAGTTCCACGTAGTTCCTTACATCTATTTCTGGCTTAGACTAGTCGATGGATGGATGGTTGGATAGAAGACAGCGGTAGTCGGAATCGGGTCCGAGGGAATAGATAGATGTAAAAAGTCCGCGGAAAACGGCGACATCGTCGGGGCCGGTCTATAAGACAGAGCATTAAGGCTTTTGAGAACATCAGTCTTGCGACGATCCAATAAAGATAACGGAAACAATCTTTATTATTCACGTTGGGCAATAGGCTATCACATCGCGGATGGATTAGTTTCGCAATCAGAAATGTGTTACGACCGAATCAATGATTATGTTTATGTGTTTCTGGAAGCCATGCATTTTTAAAACACAGCGTCCAAATGGTCAAGAAAAACAAGGTGCAATCGGCAACCGGATTAGAGTGATTTTCGACTTCAATTATTATTAACGATAAACATTCTGATTATGTCCCATGTCCCATTATGTATATCAATTATTACACCCTATTGATAATTCCATAGTTATATTAAATTATGTACTCTTAGAAGTATCGATTATGGGGTCAGTCCTCGACCAATATAGATTATTTCCATTAATATTTCTATTAAAGTAATACTGAAACTTGAAATACTTAAAACGAGTAATGATAGAAATAAATAATTATTTTATATGTAAAGTAAACAAAAATAATGTTAATACATATAGATAAGTCTAATTATTTTTAATAACTAATATCAATTGCATAAACGTGGAATTCGTTTGAAATTCAAAAATATATATTTTACTGCAAGAAGCTAATTAGTTTCAATTCATACAATATTTATTTGTAAACAGTTCAATTAAGGAAACTAATATGCAATTAGCTATAATGAGGCTGTTTGAGGATAAAAGAAACTAATAAAACGAATGTTTTTGAAGAAAATTCAATAATTTAAAAGAAGTAGCATTTCTTTCAGAATCAGTTTGAAAGGACTAAATATATTTCATATTCATCTGGGAATTAGTGCAATTAAGGAAATTAATAAGCAATTAGATATAATGAAGTTGTATGATGAAAAGAAAATACAAAAAAAAATAGTTTAAAAATTACCAAATTTGTACCAAGTTTAATAAAATGAAAAAAAAAATCAACATAAAATAATGTACGAAGTAGACATAAATAATTAACTTAAATAATGTAAATGAAAGTGAACAGTTCTTGAAGTTTAACTTGAAATAAGGAAATGCAATGTTTCAAATTCATGGAATAAGATGATGTCCGGGTCTGTTATGAAAGAGCGCAGATTGGACACGATTAAATATATATATATATATTTATACATGAGAAAAAAAGGAGGGAAAGGATTTTTTGTTTTGTTTCATTTCGCCGTGGCCATTGGAATCTACCGGCAAACGAGTTTTTCGTGCGGGACGATCCTCGAGTACCCAGAATGTGTGGCACAGGTGTGACCTTCTCAAGGTAACGTCCGGTCTGGACGGGTGCCAATGGGGCCGATTTCAGTTTCAGGCAGAAAATTAAAGATTCCAATCTCTCATCCTCTTAATGTCTAACTCATCTTTCGTTTCTTCAAATCTCTATTCTTCTCCAACTATCACAAACTCTAACTCTCACAATCTTTCTACGCCAAAGCTCGATAGGAAGTTAAAAATCTAGAGGAAATAACAACAGAGAAAATGAAGAAAGTGGCAGAAGAGTAGAGAGAAGGAAAGAAAAAAAAGTTGTAGAATACACCACAGCTCGCTAGAGCGAGCACCTTCTATTTGCGTCAGGGAGTCCAAGTCAACGGCCGCCTCCTCTCACAAGTTTGTTTTTCGTCGGACAGATTGTTTTCCAGCATTGATTTTGACAAAAACATTCGTACAAATACAGACAAGGTTAATGCAATTAGCCGCCTGTTTGTTTTTCCAGCGTCCGGATGAAGAGTGAGCACGCTGTTATTATCGTCATCACGCTGATGATCATCATCATCAACAACATCACTAGTATTGAAACTGTCTCCGTAATTCTCAGAACATACCGGATTTTCGCTTTTCACCAGCAAGGTGTTTGGCACCACCACAAAAAAACACGTGCTCTTGTAGTCCGTAGTCCGAATCTATTTCCAGCCATTCGCACTCTGATCATCAACGATCACCTATTCCGGGAAAGTAAACAAGGTGGAAAGCACGCAGGCACGCGCGAGAGACTAGTCCTTCCTATCCCGAAAAAAAAAATTGTATCAGATATAGTGAGTCAAGTCAGGTGGAAGAGGGCAGTACCCGCCTCCGTTCAAGGATCACGACGATAACGTAGTCCCAAGGATGGCATCCATCATAATCCTTCCTTAATTTAATTTATTTATTTGTTGATTTCATTTTTTTTTGTCGTTTCGCCTGGGTGTCGCCGCTGCTCACTATTTTTATTCCGTTCGATGCGTATTTTAAATTACATCTTTATTGTCCGCGCCGACAACGATTGATACAAAAGGCCAAGGACCCCGAGATCGCTCTGCCAACATCGAATCATTTCGAGAGGACGAGTCTTTACGAGACTTCCTCAACTCCGTCGTTACATAATTCCCCCGAAAACACGATGCATTTCCAACAATTTCAATATCACTTTTCAATCAGTTTACGAAACAGATTTTTATTTTAGTTATTAATTCTCAAAAATAAGATTTATCCGTTGACGTATGAAACTTCATCATTAAGTGTTATTACCATCTATTGACGTGTTGTGTGCATATGAAAACAAGTTCATTTGGTTATTGTTGCTCACAACCTATGCGATTATGGAAACGAATGATTTATTATCCTTTGTTAAAAATCGTTACCCGTTAATTATGTCATAAAACTCCTTTGTTCTCACGCTCGTAAATGTATTGAAAAATGTACTGTGTTAAAGTATAAATGATTGAATTCTACGAAAATCTAGATTACATACATTCGTTCATTCTATTCATTAATTAATATGAAAAAAAAATGAATTTACTATAAAATCATAATGTATTTGTTTACGCTTATTAATATAAAACATAAAATCAAATAATTCCAAGGTTTAAAACTATATGCGATATTTATTTAAATTCTGTAAATCATTGGATTCAATTAAGTATAATCATTCGTTATTTATAAAATTTAGCAGAGATAAGTAAATATATATAGATAGTATTAAACTTGAATGAAAGTTTAAATAAATATAGCGAGATTATATTGATTTGTATTGCTTCTTTGAAACGTGCTTTATATAATTATAGTTATCGCAGCTTATGAATGAAATGCGCAATAGTACGTGAATTTACTCAGTGTTGAAAGTTTAAAGCAGGCAAATAAAAACATGAAAGTTTTATTTTTTATTCAGTATATAAATAAAGAAGGATGAAATACTAGAACTGTTTGATCTGAACTTAGTTTACGTGCCTATAATTAAAAAAAAATAACATATCTAGTAAGTATTAAAGTAAGTTTTTAACGTGAGTAACTTCATCGAACACCACACAGACAGAAATGTGCGCCACTGAAAAGTATGTGGGACAAAAATACCAGAAATAGAAAGATAATAACAGGCCAAGCCATATATAAAATCGCGCGTTATTATGATTAAGGCTTTACCGACCTTAGAGGATCGTTGTAAATGGATTGCTTAATCTCTGTAACACTTTATTTGTACATACGTATTTTCCATTTGCTATTTATTTTTTCGCGGTTAAATCGCCAATTAACGTAATTTAATTGAGATTTGCCCACCGCAACACCGATCCGTCGTGCAAGTAAGAAATCAAAGTGATTTTATATATTTCACCCATGAATCATTTGAAGTAAATTTCGTTAAAACCTAAATTCAGAGATGAAAACTGGATTCGACCAGTCTGAATTGAAGCAATCGATAAAATGGTGAAAATTGTGTGAGCTCGCGTTTTTTTTTTTTCGTGCGTTTGCTCCTGGTGAGTTTTCTCGAAAACCGCGAGGTCAGCCTTATGGAATGCCATTATGAAAATAGATTGTATTGGGAATGTTTTGAGCAGAAAGTACAAGCAGTTGGCCGACCGAAATGATAAATATTCTCGGCTTCAATGTTACACGTATTTCGACTTCAATCGAATCAACGTCCTATGACCTATGTTACACATATTCTCGTGTAGGTCATGTTTTATAATTTCTTTCAAAAGTTTATTTTTTATTTTTGTATGATATATAAATTGTATTTCAAAATAAGTCCAATTTGAAGTACAAAAATATAGAAATAATTTATTAAGTTTAAAATTATATTTTAATAGCAAAGCAATAACAAATAAAATTTGTAAAAAAACTTTATAGAATTGACAGACTATATATAAGAAGCTTGAGTATTCGTTAGCAAAGCAAATTAAATGGTAATAAATAGATTTCGTGGAAGAATTTCGTGTCCAAATATGGCTGTGGACCACACACACACCCTGGATCTAAAGTCTTTGACCTAAGCTGATGCTTGGTTTGAAGGAATCGGAATCGTATATTAACCGAACGAAAGCGGTGCCTTATTGTTATGGCATTTTATTGAGTGTGTCAAAATAAACAGGAGGAGGTCAGGTTGCGGAGGATTTGGTAAAGTGACGAACGAATGCAGGCGTCGGGGCATTTTATTGGCGCGAATTCGGTGCCAATTGGCATTTATTTTAAGGACTATAAATACACCGCCGAAACGTCCATTGATTCAATGGAATTCATTGTCACAATTGCACTTGATCCACACTCGCTCTCTCGAGAGCACACATGATGCACACATGCAGTCGCAATCTCTGAAAGATCACACAATCGCGATCACAATCACGATACACTACATACCCATCATTTGTATATGTACCAAGTGTGACACACGATCACTGATTTCCTCTTTCTTTGTTTCTTTCTCTGTTTCAGTGTCACTAGCTGCACGAGCGCAGTAATTGATACAAAAATCGAACAAGCGATGGTAAGTACTGTTGATCAGCTTCAATTGAATTTTTATGTCCCACGTGGCTATTTATAGGCTTGCATCGATTATTTATAGAATTGCACTTGCATTCACTCGCTTAATTGTCTTAACCCCCCGCAAATCTCATAACTCCGGTTATGCGATTTGACGTCAAGGCATTCCCGCCAATTGTAGAACTACATTTAATTGATGTTATTCTTTTTGTTTTTTTTTTGCTCAAGGATTTGGTGAAGAACCATCTGATGTACACGATGCGCAACGAGGTGGAGGTGCTGAAGGATCGCATCGTCGAGCTGCTGGAGAGAATCGAGCAACTCGAGATGGAGAACGACTTCTTGAAGTCAAACGCCACGCCAGAGGTGCTTCGCGCTTTAAGTAACAGCACCGCCACCACCAAATATAAGAAGATCGAATATGAGAGTGACATGAAGAAGGAAGATATGGAGGTTGCCGCCATCATTGGTAACGCACAGCATCAGTACACCATCTAGGATGGAGGAGGATGCGACAAGATCGGCGATAGGAAGACGTGACGATGAGAAACTAAAACCCTATTATTTCTTTTTGTATATTCAATCAAGCAACAAGTTAAAAACAAAAACTACAACCGTTCTAATCAAACAAGCAACAAAATTTTGATCGATTGGGTAAAACATTATTTTTGTTTCGGGTGGGGTGCGCGCCACCCCCTCAAGGAGATATCAAAGTGATCAAGCCTTTCAAGGTTAACACCAAAAACCGACGTGTTTTTTCTTCGGTAATACTTCGTAATAAAGAAAATAAAGTAAAGAAATCATTCAGGGAATACCGCCGGGGTACGGGCCTTGCGAGGCCTGACCTCAGCAAAACAAGCTTCTCGTATTTTAGCTGTTTAGAAATGCTTCTAAATACCAAAAAATATATATATATATATTAATATATGAAAAAAATGTTATATTTATATATTTTACATTGATTTGTTCACTGGATATTTATACACAAGTTAGAAACCAAATGACGTGACAAATTAATGTTAATCGAAACCGGTGGATCTTCGGATCCGCAGCAGCCCTCGAAGTTGATGTGCATGCATCCATCCTCCCAGGTGCGGCGAACGGTGCAGGGCGGGAAATCAATATATTTATGTATGCATTGGGATAGGTCTTTGGGGGGGAAACGAATATACCTTGGGAAAACCACCCTCTAGGACCCACCCCGAATGCTTTTATTCTCTAATTGAAGACAGAGGCTTTTCCTTCGGCCCTGTACCGTTACCCATCGACCTCCATCTCTTCCCTTGTAAAAAAAATAACAAATTAACGAATATCAGCTAGGTATGTGCGAGTTGTGAGTGAATGAACGAGATTGTCGCGTGTGATAGTTTGTTTGACATAGAACCTCTTCTTTTTGCCCACGCAGCAAAATCCATTATTTTTTTTATCTTTGATTCCACTCCGTTTCGAAATACTGTCGGCTATATAATTGAAAATAAACGAAAAAATGAACACACAAACAAAAGCCAAGAGAAGCGGGACATGTTGAAGCAAAAATTGACGGAAAGAGAGAAATGTTTGGTGCTATTGGTATGTGATTGAGATATATGAAAAAGCCACGAGGTTGTTAAGTTTTCCTAATTATTATTATTATTTGTATTTTTTTTTGTTATATCAATTATTTAAAAAAAAAACTTTTTGTTTCATTTCAAGGCCAATTCTCATATAGTCGACGATATTTTGTTATTTAGTTTATACCTAAAAAAAAAATAATATAATAAGTCTTGGAAATACATAAGTATTTATTTTTTGAAGTGTGAAAGCAAATGCAACTAAATTTTGTGGATTCAATAAAAAAAATATTCGATCTGATCGTCCAAGCATTCTTTAGGCCTAGTCTTGCTTAGTTTAGTAAATAATGGCTGTGCTAAGTTAATAATAACACGATACTAACTCAACGTAAACAAAATAATAAATTTAAAAAAAAATATATATGAAAACAAGTATACACACAAGTATATGTATGAAGATGAAGAAAAAACATAGACAAGTGTGATTTGCTAACGACAAATTTCAAATAGAAAATTACGAGATGGAAATGACCATCTCGTTTTCGAAGCAAAGATGTGAGAAAATATTAAGAAAATAACTAGAAAAAAAAAACAACAAATTATTTATACTACTAACACTTTTAGAGCTAACGACATATGAAAGTATATATTTAAAAAAAAAGTAATATTAATAAGAATAATAAACTATATTGTGATGTGTTTCATTAATTTGTAATAATAATAAATATTAATTTATTGGTAGGAAAACCTTGAGGCGAGAGAGGAAACAAATAATAATGTTATGAGATGCGAGGAAGGAATGGAGATGATATTTTGAACAATAAAACGGAGAGAAAAAAAAACGGATAAAAAGAGGTACATAACAAATAAACGAGAAAATTGGCGGGAAAATAAATATATATGTAAAGGAGTGAATGTGTATCGTAACGACGATGGGAAGAGGAAACAAAGAAACGTAATGATATGTGTGTATAACCAAAGAATTTTGTTTTTTTTGTGCATTCCAAGCGACCTTTAGAGTGTAAAGTAAAGTAACGTACGAGGGAAGGATAATTGATTACTAAAAGATAACTATTATATTCTAATAATACATCACTTCACTATGTTTTGTTCTATATTAGTTACGTTTTTTTTATATATATATAATTATTATTCTTATGATATATATTGATTGCATGAATACTAGTTTTATGTTGATGGCTATAGATCCCGCGAAAATTCTGTCGGTGATTGAGGGCGGTTCTCTTGATAACCTTAGCACACCCCGAGACAAAGATTGAAGTTTCGGGGGGTGCACATTGCCATCCGCTCTTGGACATCATCGATCAGTCTTTTCTTCACGTGACTAGTTCAAGCTTGTATTAATGTTAATGAAGTCGATTATTATTATTATAGTTATGCATGATTTAGTTTGTTAATTCACGATTCCTCGCGTTTACCGCGAATTATTATTAATAAATATAACTCCCCTTTTTATTATTATTATTATGATTATTACATTTATTATATGTCTATTATATACGTTTATCAAATATATATATATATATATTTATAAGTTCTTTTTGTTACACAATTATATTATTATATCTCATAGTTTAGTTATTGTTTATTATAATCTATATTATTATATTATCGTTTATATTATTATAATTATTATTGTATGTAAGTGTTTTCGGAGATTCTCAATCAAACATGAAATATTCTTGTGACGAGGAACATGAGCGATTAATCTCTGGACAAGCATAGCATATCAGGACAACAAAACTATTCGTATTATTTTTATTATTATATTAAGACTCTTTTTAATTACGGTGCGACTCACCACTGGAATATAATATATACATATACACATACTTGTAAGGTTTTCATTGTTTTACTGCTAATTCAATAATAATAATAAAAAAGTACTATTTATCCAGTAGCCTCATGACATTTATTTTGTTTGATAACCTTCCATTCATTGCGATCATCCGGATCAAATTTACATGAAATTTTTCCAATTTCTGCAGCTCTTAGCAGGCGAATCAGCGACAGCACGAAGGTGAAACATTCAGCATTCATACGAGTGGTCGATGTTATAACTATCTTAAAGGGTTGTGGAGAAATTCACGAAAAACTGAAAAAAAATCGAAAAAACGTCGTTTATTTGTTACGTAACGAACATTACGTGCATGTGACTATGAAATAAAATCGAAAAGAAGTTCATTAGTTTTCGAGTTATTAACAGAAAACTGAAAACATCATTTTTTTGACAAATTCAATTCACTTTTTTTCCAATTTCTACAGCTTATAGCAGGCGACTCGACTCCAGTACGTAGATGCCAGTAGGCTTGTTAGAAAGGTGAGATATTCAGCTTTCATACGAATGGTCGATGATGTAATTATCTTAAGGGGTTGTCGAGAAATTCACGAAAAACTGAAAAAAATCGAAAAAACGTCGTTTCTATGTTACGTAACGAACATTACGTAACTTTTGTTATATACATAGTTGCGCAATGCTTGCGTGCATGTGACTATGCAATAAAATCAAAAAAAAGTTCATTAGTTTTCGAGTTATTAACAAAAAACTGAAAACATCAATTTTTTGACAAATTCAATTCACTTTTTTTCCAATTTCTACAGCTTATAGCAGGCGACTCGACTCCAGTACGAAGATGCCAGTAGGCTTGTTGGAAAGGTAAGACATTCAGCTTTCATACGAGTGATCGACGATGTACTTATCTATAGGGGTTCTCGAGATATTCACTGAAAACTGAAAAAAAATAGGGAAAAACGTCGTTTCTCTGTTACGTAACGAA